AAGCCCAAAATTTTCAGAAAGTGTAAGTTGTCTTAAACTTACTTTTCTTCTCTGTCTCTCTCTCAGTTTTCTGTTGATGCTACCAATTATTAATCTATATTTTTAGCAGTAGCAGAAGCTAACAAATTTGAAGAAGCAGTTTGTAGTTTGTAATATTTCCTTGATATCTTATTTCTACTAACATTTGAAGAAGGGTCATGAACTCATCAATTGTCTAATTTACCAAAGTAGCAAGTTGTTGATTGACTAATAGTAACCAAAATATTGTCTGCATTTTAAGGTTGTAAACTTCAAATATACTGATTTTACTGGCAGGTGATTTTAGTGTATTTGACAATGATGATAGTGATAGTGGTGAAGGTTTTTCTTGAATCTTTTTAGCTAGTTATTGATTCTCTTGCCAGGACTATCTAACAATGAATGAATAAGTATATCAACAGGGAAAATGCCTGTCTAGATGTCAGAAATTACAGGAGGCCATTCTAATGCATCATCATTTGACATTTAATATGACTTTTCTTCTACTGAAGCTGGTAGTAATGTAATAGAGAAAAGCAGCAGGTTGTCCGTTGCAAGCACTCCAGTAAGTCAGAGGCCCTTGGCTCAAAGTGGTTGCAAGAAGGGGTTTTCTTCAAACATGGAAGAGTAAATAATAGAACAGAATATTTTTGGTTAATTAGGATTGATTTTCATTGTTTAGGTGAATGTTAGTCCAGGAAATGACATAGGAGGGAGAATTGGTTTAGTGGAAATAGGGTAGGCACACAGGATTGGTTTCTTAGCTGGGCTGAAGGTGAACGTGATCATGGGGTTTCTATATAATATGAAATCAGTAGACAGTTAGCAATGCTGCTGATTGTTTAAACCAGGATAAATTACATGCAGTCTTAATAATTTATTTACTTCTCAAAAGAATAGTAAAAAAGCCTAGTTTAAACCTTTTATTAATGAACATTAAACTGCAATAAATCAGTAAGTATACTTTAGCACCTGGAGGCATGAAAGTTTAACCTGAACATGGTTGAAAAGCATTCAACTTAACTGAGTTGCATGCAAGTTCCCACCATTTAGAGCTTCGTAAAAGTCCTGCAAACAGAAATTGGTTAAAATAATTGAAGCCCATCTTAGATAATATAAAAATATACTGTAACACCTATTGACAACAAAGGTTTTGAGACAAAAAAGGGAAAAAGTGAGAATAAGTAGATAGATAACAAAATTGGAAAAAGAAAGGTTTATTAGGCAATGATAAGCAGCCAAGTGTTTTATGTAAGCTTTGTTTTACTTCGATTATTTTGTGAAACGCCCTAAGGTGCAGTTATTATTTTGTTTTGTGTGCAAACATTTTGAAAGTTTTGATTTTGATCAAACACATAGACAATACTCAACCAATTTGGTTGTATATCTAACCCTTTTTTATTCTGAAGTTGAAAAGTAGAAAAAAGGAACCAAGGAATTAGATCACTATCATGTAAGTGCAGTATATTATTGTCAATAATGACAAAACCATCAAAGTTTAATTAACAGTCAGACAAGAGTTCTACTTGTATTACTTTCAAACCGCCAGATGAATTAGAAATTTTTTATATTTTAGCCAAGATGAGCTAGAATTTAGTTGCTAAGTTTCATGACAGTGGACTATTTAGGTTTTAGGAGACAATATGAGAATCTGAGGGAGGCGATGTTTGATTGGGTGATACTGGATGTTGACTTAGCTGAACTTTGATCAAATTGTAACTGGCTGTAAAAAATAGAGGTTCCTTAGCTGGATTATACCCTCTTTCTTCTCCCCACTGTGGTTTTTATAATGAATTAAAATGATTTTAATACCTAAGAAATTAGTTATGTATTGCATTTTCATGCAGCCTCTCCTGCTTCTATTTAAGCATTGGATTTTTCTCATCTGTTGTCTTTTAGTTCTTTCACTCCCAAGACATGGGAATGGAAAGCTAAAATCAAGTCGAACTAGAATTTTCTTTTATGCATTTCTCATGTTGTACTTCTTTTTTGAATGTTGCTTCTTATGTGAATAAATATAATGCAATGTTCATATGTATCTCAGATTTGAGTTTAACTGACTGCTTTTATTTATTTATTTTTTCTCTATCAGGAAAGGAACTTCCTACTAAAAACACTTGGAATGGAGTCCCCTTCTTCCAATCCAACTGACACTACTTCAAAACCACCAGCCTGCAAAAGAGTCCTCCTTCATAGTCTATAATGAAACCCTCTGATCACTTCACATACTGATTTCCAATGGTCTAAAGGCATCATATCTCATTGTTCAGTTGCTTGAGCAACATAGCTCCTATTAAGTTTTGATTTGATTTGATTGTTTTTTTTTTTAACAAAGTTTGTCCGATTGCAGCCATCCTAGCCTGAAATTTTACAAGTAGGCATTTCGAGATCTGCATCTCCCTGGTCTAGAATGTTAAGGAACATTCTAGCCTCTCAGACACATCTAACAAGGTGTCATGAGTTCTATTTTTCTCCCTCAAAATTTTCTTTCTTCTCCTAGAGGAGCCCTACCTTAATACTCACAAGCAGTTTGTGCTTCGTAGTGTGTGTCATTCTTTAGTTTGTCTTCTCATTCGTGTGGTTTCGGATCTCTTCCTTTCTTCAGATTCACATTTTGCCTTGATTTGTAATTTTGTACAGAACCTACTATATGAAATTCCTTAGAGTGTAAGTACACATTGGCAACTCGCCTATAAATGATAAAACAAACAGAAGAAAAAGAAAAACCAAGAGGGAAAAACATGGGGATTAACCAGTTTACTGGGTTTTTACTGGTTGTTTTGGGTGTGCACAGGGTATAGAATAAGTTTTTGTTTTTTTATTCCTCCCTTGATATCTAATGTAATGTAACTTGATGTGAATTATGTGATTTGAGTGAAATTGTGTTGTGGTTTTGGTGTGTATGTGCTTCTTACTCTAATTTCCCTTGAATTCCTACCTTATCAAATTGCAGTAAAAAGTGGAGACCTTTCCTAGAAGTAGAATTAGAAAACTTTCATATGGGCAACAAATGATACATGGAACTGGATGAAACTGTGACTTGGTATGGTGGTTGTGAGTTCAGTTATTGTACCTAGGGTTTACTCTCCAGCAAGTGGGCGATGAAGAATGGTTTTTCTCGTCCAAAAAGAAAAAAAAGG